AATGCCTGTCATACTTTCACAACGCGCGAGTGCATCTCCCTGCGACATAGTTCTGTTCAGATAATTGAACACGTTGAGCACGATTTCTTTCGCGTCCCTCTTCAGTGCTTTACGAAGCCGTCTACTTGTTCCCTGGCTTTCAGTACTTCCACTCGTGCCATTTGTACTCTCCATGGTTAAGTATAACCAAAACAGTAACCACAGAAACCACAACAATAACAATCACACAACAATTCTTATAAAAACACACAAATGCGATCGCTCAACGAAACACGTTCCAATGCGTTGCCGACGCCTATGAGTCTGCCGGTCGAGGCGCGTCTTTGATTTCATTGGTTCTACCGGCGGAGAACAATCAGCCTTTATTTCCATCTCTGTCTGTGCTGTTGACCACCGCAAAGCCACAGAAACGACATATGTCGTACGCTATACGGCTGTACTGGAAGGAAGCCGGGATCGAGCTCTGATCAGGTGTTGATCACGCGTATGAGTCATTACAGTTTTAAATAGTTGTAGTATAGATAGTAAAGCCCAAAAATCCTCTATTCGGCGCGTCGTTTTTGGGAGCACAAGGTATGTTGTGTTGTCGTAGCCAGTTTAGGGTATTTCCTGGATAATGGCAAGATGCTAGGTCTAGACCAAACCTTATATGGTCATCAGCACAATGCTCGTGGACAAACTAAAGCAATTTGGAAAAGGAGTTATCAAATGTCAACGGACAGCAAAGTATGTAAACAAACTTTAGTTTCCAAAGGCAACTTGATATTATTTTGTGTTTGTTAAAATTAAAGATAATAAATTTTGTGCCAAAACTTTTAGGACATACGCTATGCTTCTAGAGTATATTTAAAATAAAATAAGACAGATAAAATTACTATTCTTAGTTTTTTATTAGAAGTAAATTATGTACTTGAAATAAGATCACAGATGCCTGCGGTAATCGCACAAACCATAACCGTCTTGATTATGTTTTTCATCGTTGGTTGTTGTTGGTAGGGTTTGAGACAAAATTTTTAAGCAAGTTCCCGAATTAGTCTAATCATATTAGACGAAAATACACCTGGTTTGCGACATAACTCTTATTTAAGTTAGTTTATTAAAAAGTTATGGCGAAAATCAAGGCAAACTGCAGGTTTTGACACTTGGTAATGCGACGACGGTTTCCCGCAGGTATCTGAAATTCTTTAAATTCGTAGGATTCGTACTTCTAAATAACCACAACAAAATTGGAGTAGGTTGGTCAAGTAGTTTTTGAGAATTACTAAATGTTTATCCCAAATCCCTTGTTTTCCGGCCGTCAATATTAGTTTATTGAGCAATATACAGGGTTACTTCAAAATGCATTTCATAGCAAAATACACTAGGTTCGCAAACGATTCCGGAAGATAAACGTTATTTTTATGCAAAAAAGGATGGGTGCGTTTTTCCTTCTAAACAAATTCAAAAATTTCATATCTGTGAGTCATTCGCAACAAAAGATGATAGACACATGCGATTTGTTTTAAAATTTGTTCAACTACTCACAAGTACAAAATGTTTGAATTTTCTTAGAAGACAAAAATATAAAGTCGTTTTTCGGATAAAAAAACTCGTAACTTTAATCTTTCGGAATGGGTGTTTTGGGATAAACAAAATGGTAATGCATCGACAATGTGTATGCAATGTACAAAATGCGTAGACAACATAGACAATGACGTAGACTAAATATACAGGGTGGCGCATCGAAAACTAAACAGACGCATTTACCGGCAGCTCAGTTTTTTTTGGAAAAACGCTCAGACCCGTCGATTTTGTTTTCGAGGGGGACACAAGTATGGCAAAAAATCACATTAACACGTGCAGCCCCCTGGGCGGGGGTGATACCAACCCTAAAGTCTTAAATGAAAAGGGGGGTCGAGTGATACCTTATTTTAAAGGCCTTTCAATTCCCTTTATAATGATGTAAAATACATAAGATTCAGTACAGTAGTTTTGAAGATTAGTTTGTACTACTTTCAGAAGAAATTTGCTAAAAGAATTTACTTAATAAGTAAATGCCTTTCTTCACTACGTCCATGGTTTGTTTATCATTTTGTTGTTGAAAATAGCTAATGAAACGTTTTTTTGTGGCAAGTTATTTCTTGAAGAAAGATAAGGAAATTTGACCAAGCTTTGTTGCTAAAATAACTTTATTACATAAATTAACCATGGTATATTCCACAGCAGAAAGAGTTGAAATTATCGAAATATTTTTCGGAAATAATCAGTGCGCTAATAGAATAGCAGAAATATTTAATGAGCGACATGAAAACAGTGGCAAGCATCAAAAATATGTTCTAGAACTTGCAGCTAAATTTCGGGAAACTGGGTCAGTCGCCAATAAAAAACGCAACATTGAAAACCCCATAAGGAACGAAGCAATAGAAGTGGGGGTTTTAGGGCAAATTTATGTAGATCCTACGTTAAGAACCCGCAAATTGGAGTGTGTATGTGGTGTTAGTCGACGTTCTAAATGCCCATAGTTTTCATCCGTATAAAATTCACCTGGTACAAGAACTTAATGAAGACGATTTTTCTTAAATGGCGTAGTAAATCGTTATAACTGCCGATATTGGTCCAATTATAATCCCAGCATTTATCATGAGGTTCATACACCGCAGCCAGAAAAATTAAATCTTTGGGCTGGTATTTTTGGCGATCATTTAGTTGGTCCCCTTTTTCATACCAGGAAATTTGACGGATGAAATGTATTTGGAATTACTGGAAGACGCCATAGATCCTGCATTAACAGCCGTAATTGAAAATCAGAATGATCGGCGGTACATTGCGAATAGGATGATGTTCCAACAGGATGGTGCCCCACCACATTACGCATTACGTGTTCGACAATATTTAGATCAGACGTTTCCAGATCGATGAGGTAGAAGAGGTGCAATTGAATGGACCCCAAGATCGCCAGATTTATCACCTTTGGATTTATTTATGTGGGGTCATTTAAAAAGCAAAATCTATGCTACTCAGCCAACATCATTAGAAGACCTGCGACAAAGAATTGTGAATGAATGCCTTCAAGTTACTCCTCAAATATTGCAAAATGTGCGGCAACGTTTTGAGCAAAATCTTTATTCTTGTCGGGTCAGTTCATTCTTCATTTTTAAATTACTTTGCTGCCAAATGTATTGATCTCCACTAATGACGATGTATTAGTTTTATTTAAGCTTTAAATCAATAAATCTTCAAAACTACTGAACCGAAGCACGTTAATTTTATATCATTATAAATGGAATTGAAAGACCTTTAAAATAAGGTATCACTGGACCCCCCTTTCCATTTAAGATTTTAGGGTTGGTGTCACCCCCACTTAGGGGGCTGCACGTGCTAACGTGATTTTTTGCCAAACTTGTGTCCCCCTCGAAAACAAAATCGACGGGTCTGAGCGTTCAACAAAAAAAAACTGAGCTGCCAGTAAATGCGTCTGTTTCGTTTTCGATGCGCCACCCTGTATAATAGTATACGTTCAATCACAGGCTTCAAAATATTAACGGCGGCCGTATACACGATCGGGTCGGGAGTGTAAAAGGCTAAGAAAATTAGTGATCTGAGGCTCATGTTCCTTAAATATGTAAGAACATGTTCGGTCGAGTATATTATATGTAAAGATAGTGTAATTTATCTACAAATTGCTTCAATTCCACCAGGTAAGTAAACTTTTTTTGCCTGGGTCAAGTGAATAAATTTTGTTTGGAGGATGTATTTTATTCGAAGATATCCCTTTGTATATGTATAAGTAATAAATGTGTATATGCGAGCCACCTAACTGAATTACTATTTGCTATTGTCTACATCATGCCGATTGGGTTTTCTTATACTACTAATACACCCTGTACATGGAGGAAGCGTTATTATTGTCATTTCATCTCTATAAAAATATACTCCCATAAATGATCCAAACGTATGAAACAAAGGTGGTTGAACAAGAAGTATATAAATATATGTTGGGATCATTTCTCATTTAGACGTAGCACGTCCCAAAATGCAAAATAATGGAAACAGAAATAAAATATTATGTTCCGTACAGTCTACTGCGTCAAACGGCTATACTTATCACCCTCAATTTTGTATGTACGGCGATGCCGTTGGACGCGGTGGTACACAATTTATTCACGAGCATTAAAAGTAATACGGGTACATTTACATTTTTCAGAAGTCCGCCACATCAGTGGCGCAGAACGGTGTCCGGATCCATGTAGAGTCAAGTTGAGGTTGTATTATTTTCAAGTGGCGCCCCCTCCACTAAGATCGGCAACAGTTTGGTAAATTCTACATTTTGTAATACATTAACCCTACGTGGCCACATTTACCGTTCTATTACAGTTTATGTTTTATATTTTATATTACAGATATATTGAATTTGTATTTAATAATAATAATGATAATGTTACAGATGCACCCAATTATAGGGTGGATACTACTGAATCTGTCTCTCAAGCCGGGTTTACACGGGTCGAGTAAACGGTCAAGTTACTTGTCTTCGTACTTACGTTGTTGCATTCTACTTTAGTTGATCCAAAAAGCGCGTCTCCACGTAGTCCAGTAGATGCGCAGTCGACAGTTAAAAACATGGTGGAAAATCGTATTGTCATACGAAATTGTGTTATTAATCTCACAAATATTCTCCTGGGAGGACTGGAAGAAGTTTTGGAGGAAGAGCGAAATCCTGAAAAAAGGATATGGTGTCGAGAATGGCTTACACGGAGAGAAAGTCAAGGAGCTTCCGCCAATTTAATAAGCGAGCTGAGATTTGAAGATCCTAAAGAATAGGTACAGAATGATGCTTAGAATGACTGCTAAAAAATTCGATTACTTGTTAGGCTTAATAACTCCATTAATCCGAGAGGACAGTATTATGAGAAACGCTATCAAACCAGAAGCAATGCAATGTTGAAAGTAACCTTGAATTACATGGCACCTGGTAATAATTACATAACCCTTTCTCATCTCTTCCGAGTTTCTAATTCGTAATGGTTTGTGAAACTGTGTATGACTGCTTAAAGGATTTCGTAAAGGTATGTGAATAGATAATAATAGAACATTTTTAAAATTTTATTTAGGCTTCTTAATAAAAAAACAAACAAATTCAATTCTATCATTTAGGACCAATTTCACCAACATTAATATTATGGACCAATGGGAAAATACCTTAGCGAAATGCAATTTGACGGAAGCTGTCAAAGGTCTCTGAATATTAGTGATTTCTATTGAAATATTGAATAAAATCGTGAAAATTCGACTGTATTATAAACAAGACCACTTTTTTATTCCAACATGATGCTTTTGTACAGAAAAATCAGGACAACTTTCATTTATTTTAATATATGTTATAGGTTTACATTTAACAAATCCGTTATCCCCTCAGCGAATGGGAATGCAGCAAATAATAGGTCGATTTTCTAGCTGTTAAATTTGACAGCAGATTTGGACGTCTGTTAATGCATGGCACTCTCGAATTTACCAACTTCAATATACTGAAAGTTATCATTACATACCTGTTGAATAGTGTGGATTTGTTTGTATTTTGCAGGAAAATAGAATATGAAATACATTCCATCCAATTCCTCATCTTTCTTTACGTCATAATAGTAATCATTTATTGATTTATGGGTTAATGAATTTCTTCAAAGCAATAAAAACATTATGTCGTCTCCATCCTAAAACACACATAATATGTGTAAGACGTGTCAATCCTTACATCTTCCTGATGCATAATGCAATTACTATGGACATAGACAAACAATTATGAAAAATGTTTCACAGATAATGGCTTTTAAGTCCAAAAATCAAAAAAACTAGTAATGTTTAATGTTTATCTATTTTTCTTTTTTGACTGGCGGGGATATATGTCTGACACTCGCAGGGTTGCCAAGTCGTGAAAATTTACTAGGTATCATGATTATAATCATCTTTGGTAGATTGTTCGATTCGGAATGGGAAAGATCTCCTATTTATGAAAATATTTTTGGTATCATCTAACCGTTGCAATCAGTGCACAAACACTGTGACATATGATTTATAGCATAACCCGCTGCCCTATCAATGCAAATTTAACATACAGGTCGCCTAGCCGTGGGGATGCGGTGGTCGGGATGAATATCACGGCAGCAACTGATGATTTGGGCATGTCTGGTAACAACGTAGAGTATATTTCAACAGTTGGCGGAACTTACTCCACTGGGACCAGGAGGGTGAAACGGGATATTAATGCACAATCTGGCAACCATGTCGCATCCTCACAAAATGGCTGCTGGTAACCCCACAAGTCACCGTGTTGTCATTGAATAGCATGGAATTAAAAATTCAGAGTATAATATGTTTTGTGATTTGTGACTGGTACCAAGAGTTCACAGATCCCACACATGTGTCACTCCTTGAAATGCAATAATCAGCTGTATTCAAATAATGTCTTATATAAATATAACCTAGAATGTGTACTCTTGAAAAAAGAAAAATATGGCAAATTTTTAGTTTTTTGCAGGTTTTAAGTTTGATGGTAGCTTTAAGACGTATATTTTAGAATTTGTTAATCGCTGTGAATATAGTGTGGATCTTTGTTCAGTTCCTGAACAACGAAAAATATTCATATTTATGGTATGGATATCAAAAAACCTGAATGGTTTTGTGGGAATATCAATCTAAGCTGCCATAATGGTTCTGATGAACGGCAAGTAAATGAATGAATGTTTGGAAACGAGCAACATCTTTTGGTAGAGCCAGTCATCAAGTAGGTGCTTAATGGCCATCTGCAAGAGGTTTATAGGAAAAAAACACCCAGTTTCACATATCATTTGAATCCACTAGGATCACAACACCCTAAATCCACTTTAGCTAAATGTGCAGGAAAGCAAAAAAACATTTTAGCTAACTTTTGAATTAACATATATGACGAGATATGCTTTTTAGGATTCCTAATAATCATATATTCAGTAATATAATGTAAAAATACAATATTCTTTAGGCTGAAAGTGGCAATTTAAAAAATAAAATCGGATTTAGTGCAGTTTGCAACCAAACCATGGATTTAGTGGAATATGAAACTGTCTAATATGGATTTAGTGGATTTTGACGTGGACTGAATTTTATTTTCAAGATTTAATAATACTAGGTATGTAGGAAAAAAGTGTTACCTTTATTTTTAACAAAAAGTATTGGAACAAAATCAAAACATGTTTATGAAATGTTTCAGCAAAATAAACGGCACGCGTTAAACTGATTAGCACATTCGGAAAACTCAAGAGTTAATTTCGGCAAAGAAAAAAAGTGATGATCTATACTACAATCTAAACTAATACATCTTTAACTTCTGCCATTCTTTCACAAAGCTCAGTGTTTTCTGAACTACCTTGCTCAGCCTCTTCTCCTTCATCTCCGTCATTGGTTGCTCTGTTTTCTACTAAATGTTTTTCAAACACATTTTTATAATATCCTAAGCAAGTCAATCCCTTCCATGCGGTGCCATAATGTTTGGTCAAGAGCTTAGCTACATCTTATAATTTTGCTTGTTTTGGCGGTATGCCACTACCTATTGGGAGCGGATTTAATGATTCGAGATTTTTTTTGGTTTGCATACGGTCTTGTAGACTCCTAAGTCTGACCGGTAACTTTGCTCACCTCTTACTGTGACTGTGTTGTTTCTTCCTTTTTTCAACAGAAACCTTTTAACCATATTGAATTTAATATGCCATTGGGCGGGTGGTTTCAAAACTTCCTTAGGTGCAGACTTCCAGTCAAAAACAGTTACATCCTTGCCTAACTCCACTACGCAACCATGTTCCTTAAAAATGTTGAAATATTCTTTGGGCTCTATGATTTGGTCCTGTCGCCTTATCTTCTTGTCAATGCCTGCGAAGACCCTATCTGGAGGTATAAATGAATGCCCAACAACTGGAAAGATCAGTTCGAGTTCTTCAACTGACGAAGTAGTTAACCATTTTAGGCACATACCTAACATCATCCATCAGCCATGAGTCGTATTTTCCTTATGCCATTAATATTGCTATTATTCAGCGTATAAAACACTGCAGACGCAATCTCGTTAGCTCCTTTCGCATGTTGGTCCTCCGTCCAGGCAAATATTCGCACTTTTCTGGTGTCAGCTTAGAATGTGAATCACCGGTTACAGTTGCGAAATTATAAAGATACAGTTGTCGACTATAATACACACTTTGGTCAGGTATTTTTGGAAGCGTGAGATTCTTTTGACAGTCAAAACTCGTCTCGTTTTTCTCGCAACAGAGCGAAAAAGGCTTTAGCGCTGGCGCCTCAAATTCTGTGACCGGATTGGCTGAACTGGATTTAGGGGCGTTTGAAAATTATCATGGCTGGATTTAAGGGACTTTGCAACTGTGGTAGCTTTTTGATGCCATTTTTACTATAGATTTAGAGCGATTTGTCACTAAATAGGTATAGTGAACAGTAACGAATGGTTTGAAGAATATCAAAGTGTATTTTACTCATTTTTGGTCTGAAGTGGATTTAGGGGGTTTTGATTCCAGAGGATTCAATTGGAGAAAATAATATAAACATGAATAAAAAATCAACAATAGTAATTAAACATTTCTCAAAATTTTGACTGAATATATGTAATTTCTTAATATTTAATAAGCTGGTGATGTTTCAATGACAAGTTGACATCTCATACTTTGACAGTATTTTGTTTTCAACATTTCATAGCTATTGGTTGCTAAAATTTGTTGATTGGAACTTGAAGCTCATTCGCTGTATCTAACGGTCTGTTACCCTATAGGTGGAGAATAACGGACTGTTGTTGGTGAAATTGGGCCTTAGTTTGTAGTTCCATGCTTGCTAGATAATATCTCCGATAGCAGCGTCATCATTTGCAACTGTGTCCTCGTTCATGACCGGGTGATTAGTGCTGTATGTAGGAGTAGTTGCAGGAGGTCAATCCCAAGAAAGGGTGTTAAAGTTAAAGTGCAGTTAATGCGGAAGCCTCAGAAGCAGAACTGCTTTTATTTAACGCATTCAATCGATTTTGTATTACTCTTTGAATTTCACCTTGCGCCATGATTGAATCAGCAGGGGGCAGTTGATTTAAACTGGCTGCAATGAAGTTACCAAACGCTTCATGGTCACTGATGGATTCAGAGATTATTGTTTCTTGGACTTTTCGGATCTTTGCAACAGCTGTGGTTAGTGTTTCTATCCGTGCTTTTTTATTTTTCTACTACTCGAGGATCTGTTTTACCAGTCGATTCTACAGGAGATCATGTTTTGCTGGTCCAAGGTTTTATATGAGTCTGCGAGAGATTTGGAAACGGTTCTTCAAAGACTTGTTCCTCTAGCAGACCTTGTTCATTTTCGCTTGGAAGAGCGATTTGTCTTTCTCAAAATGAATGAAATACTAATTTAATATTTTTCATTTGCTTAATGATAAATTTTTATTTTATGTTTATTCTTTCAGGTTCCTGATACACAAGGAAAAAAGTTGGGTTTGAAGCAAGATGGAATGTTCCTTTCTGTTGTGGTGCCACTGATGGCAAACATGTCTTGATCGAGGCTCCCGCACATACTGAAAGTGGATACTTCAACTATAAAGGCTCCTTCAGCGTGTTACTAATGGCAATTACTGTTTTTTTTTATTTTAAAGGATCTAACTCAGATGCTGGTATTTTTCAGTAGCTCCAGAAGAAGGATTACTACCCGATGGTAACATTTTAGTTGGTGATGATGCTTTTCCACCAAAAACCCTATCTATTTAAACCATATAGTAGATACCGACTACCTCTTACCGATGAAGAAAAGATTTTCAATTATCGGATTAGTCGTGCCAGAAGAATAGTGGAAAATGGTTTTGGAATCTTAGCAAGTAGATTTCGTGTTTCTGAAAGAAAAGTAAAGGTAAAAGTTTCCTGTGTGAATACGTATAAACTGGTTAGTACTGCAATTGTGATTCACAACTGGCTACGAAAAACGTCACCAGATCAATACTTCAGTAATGCACAATTCGTTGATTATGAAAACCAACACACAGGCGAAATAATACCTGGACAGTGGAGACAACAGATACGAGAACTGAGAAACTTACAGGGGGTACCTGAGAGGAGGGTGTCGGAGATAGAAAAACACACGCGAAACAAAATGAGGGATTATTTTATTTCTGAAGAGGAAGCAGAGCCTTTGCAACGAAATTTTATAAATTAGTTACCAGTTATTAAAAAAAAATACACTTTTGACATACTATGCTTCCCAACTAACAATTATCACTCCTATTAGAGTTGTAAGAATGATTATACAGTATTCCTTACACAGCATTGTATACTGTAAGAACATTGGCAAAACCCTCTTAGAACAGCTATACAAGCGGAATGGGCACACCTAATAGGACATTTCAGTCATTTAAGAGGTTGTATAAGGGCTGCAGGTAACAGTTATACAACAAAGGTGTAAGCCCCTTGCAGCCGCTATAGGACATTTGCGTCAGTGCAAGATTCAGTTTTTGTCAACTATATAACTAGTCTGTTACGTGATTCTACTTTATTGCAACCAGACTATTTCTTATGTATTGCATAGACGAAGTGAAGAATATATAACTAACACATTACAGTCATCTTGTTTACTTACATATCAGCCATTGTGAATTTCATACACAGGTATATGATAATAGTATTCGCTTGGTCATTCAAATATTAAATTCTTAGATGCATTGAACACATTCTATTTAGAAATTTTCGTTCTTTCATTCAAGTAGTTTTTGCGAGACAATGATGGTCTTGGTCTTGACCTTGAGGGTTGAGTCTTGGTCTGTGCCTGTGTCTTGCGAATCAATAATCGTTAAAGCTTGCAAAACTTAAAAGACATCCCTCGTACAAATCCACAAACCACGCGTAAAAACTTATTTATTCTTGCTTTTTCTGTTTACATTGGTAAAGTAGACGTTCAAGTTGGCGATCCAGTAAAGTGGGGGTAGCAGTCGAGTAAAGTTACTTGTTCACCGTGCAGAACTACAGACGGGTTTACACGGGTCAAGTAAACGGTCAAGTTGAGCAGTAAAGTCAAGTATTTTTTTCTACTTGCATTGTATGAACAATTTCGGTCAAGTAAAGTAGCGACTTGCGTCAAGTGACGAGGCAAGTCAAGTGGTTCTGCACGGTGAACAAGTAACTTTACTTGACTGCTACCCCCACTTCTACTTTATCATTGGATCGCCAACTTGACCGTCTACTTTACCAATGTAAACAGACAAAGCAACTAAGTAAACAAGTTCCTGCGCATGGAATGTGGATTTGTACTGTCTGGGGTTTTTCAGATTTCCTATCCATTTTGATCACAGATAACCAAATAATTTTGGTGATTTTGGTATACTACGAATTGTGAATTGAGGTTTAATTTGTACAAGATGAAGTGGTCAGAAGAAGAAACCATGCGTTTCGTTGAACTCTATAGTGAAAAAGAGTGTTTATGGAAGAAGAGTAGTGTAAATTATCGCAATAAAAACATGCGAAAAGCAGCTGAAGAGGACATCGTGAACAGGATGGGAAAGGAAGGTTTTGGAGTGACAGAATTAAAGCAAAAAATAAAGATAATGAGAACAACTTATAATCAGGAAGCGCTGAAAGTTAAAAAGTCTAAGAAATCAGGAGGTAAACCGGATGATATATACGTTCCAACTGTCAAGTGGTTCCGACAAATGGAAGAAATAATGGATAGCTCCACAGCTGAAAATGAAACGGAAAGCATAGTAAGTCAAAAGTTTCTTTAATAACTGGTAATTAATTTATAAAATTGCGTTGCCAAGGCACTGCTCCTTCTTCCGAAATGAAATAATCCCTCATTTTGTTTCGCATGTGTTTTGCCATCTCCGACGCCCTCCTCTCAGTTCCCCCCTGTATGTTTCTCAGTTCTTGTATCTCTTGTCTCCACTGTCCAGGTATTATTTCGCCAGTGTGTTGGTTTTCACAATCAACCAATTGTGCATTATTGAAGTATTGATCTGGTGACGTTTTTCGTAGCCAGTTGTGAATTGCAATGGCAGCACTAACTAGTTTATTCACAGAGGACACTTTTATCTTTACTTTTGTTTCAAAAACACGAAATCTACTTACTAAGATTCCAAAACCATTTTCTACTATTCTTCTGGCACGACTAAGCCGATAATTGAAAATCTTTTCTTCATCGGTAAGAGGTAGTCGGTATCTACTATATGGTTTAAGTAGATAGGGTTTTAGTGGGAAAGCATCATCACCAACTAAAAAGTAACCATCGGGTAGTAATCCTTCTTCTAGAGCTCCTGAGATTTCGCAGTTTTGAAAAGTACCACCATCTGAGTTGGATCCCGTTGTCCCTACTTTAAAATAAGAAAAACAGTAATTGTGATCTACAGTTGCCATTAAACACCACGCTGAAGGAACCTTTATAGTTGAAGTATTCACTTCCAGTATTTGGGGGAGCCTCGACCAAGACATGTTTGCCATCAATGGCACCACAACAGAAAGGAAAATTCCATCTTGCTTCAAACCCATTCGCAACTTTCTTCCATGCATCATGTGTATCAGGAACCTAAAAAATGAACATTATGAGCATATAATTTGTATGATTAATTAATCATTGAGCAAATGAGAAGTATTAAATTAGTATTTCATTCATTTCAGGAGACAGAAATCGCTCCACCTAGCGAAAATGAACAAGGTCTGCTAGAGGAACAAGTCATTGAAGAACCATCTCCAACTCTCTTGCAAACTCCTACAAGACCTTCGACCAGCAAAACATGCTCCCGAGTAGAATCGACTGGTAAGAAAGGTTCTCGAGTAGAAGCAGGATCAAAAAATAAAAAACCACGGCTACAAGCCTTAACTGAAGCTGTTGCAGAGGTCCGAAAAGCCCAGGAAACATTAATAACTTCTCAATCCATCAGTGACAATGAAGCTTTTGGCAAGTTTATTGCAGCCAGTTTAGATAAACTGCCCCCTGCTGATTCAATCATGGCGCAAGGTGCACCTCAAAGAGTGATACAAAAATATCGATTGAATGCGTTAAATAAGAGCAGTTCTGCTTCTGAGGCTTCCGCATTAACTGCAATTCAATCACCAACCCTTTCTAGGGATTCACCTCCTGCAACTACTCCTGCATACAGCATTGATCATCCGATTATGAACGAGGACACAGTTGCAAATGATGATGCTGCTATCGCAGATATTATCTCGCAAGCATGGAACTTGACAAACTAAAATGTTACAATTGGATTTGTTTGTTTTTTATTAAGAAGCCTAAATGAAAATTTAAAAAAATAAAAATTTAAAAATGTTCTATTATTATCTATTCACATACCTTTACGAAATCCTTTAAGCAGTCGTACACAGCTTGACAAACAATGGGAATCATGATAGATATCGCTGATTTAGAAACTCGGAAGAGATGACAAAGGGTTCTATAATTATTACCAGTTGCTAGGTAATTTAAGGTTACTTCCAACATTGTTTCTGGTTTGATAGCGTCTCTCATAATAGTGTTCTCTCGTTGGATTAATGGAGTTATTAAGCCTAACAAATAGTCAAATTTTTCAGCAGTCATTCTGAGCATCATTCTGTATTCTTTAGGATCTTCAAACCTCAGCTCCCTTATTAAATTGGTGGAAGCCCCTTGACTTTCTCTACGTGTAAGCCATTCTCGACACCATATCCTTTTTTTAGGATTTCTTTCTTCCTCAAGAATTTCTTCCACTTCTTCCAGGAGAATATTTGTGAGATTAATAACGCATTTCGTATGACAATACGACTTTCCACCATGTTTTACCTGTCGACTTGCTCATCTACTGGAATACGTGTAAACCCTCTTTCTGGATGATGTGGTGAATCAAGTAAAGTAGAATGCAACCACGCAAGTGCGAAGGCAAGTAGCTTGACCGATTACTTGACCCGTGTAAACCCGGCTTCAGGGCCAGAATTCTCTGCATTCTAGGCATTTTGAGCAATCACAAAGAGGCTTCTCAACAACCGAAATACATGAAATTTAACATTTAACTATAAATGTACGAAAACTTCTTTACCACCAAACAATACACACAGCCACCAAAAAAAATAACAGAAAAACCGGAGTATTTTATCACTTGTTGCTTATGGCAAGACATGTGAAAAAATCTCAAATTCTAATAAACATATGTAGGCTAGTTTTGCCTCTCAGTATATCACCATTATGTTCTACACGGTCAGCTATGGTTACAGAGACGAAAAAACAGATTCTAATGGCAGATTTTTTTGCTAGTATCTGTTTGGCAACACTGTTTTTGACAGATGACGCGTGCATCGTGTCTTGTGTCATTGTCAAACTTCAGTTCGGTCTATAATTTAACCATGAATCGACTTACGAACGAACAACGCTTGCAAATTACTTGAATTTTACTATCAAAATTCATGCTCGGTTAAGAGAGTGCATCGAGCACTGCTTCCAATTTATGGGCAATTTGGTCGGCCTACTGAGGGAGCTATTCGGAAGCTTGTGACTCAATTTCGAACCCAGTTTACATTATTGGACATTAAACCACCAACACGCAGACGTAGAGTGAGGACTGGAGAAAATATTGCGGCTGTATCCGCCAGTGTTAGTGATGACCGTGAAATGTCGATTCGCCGCCGTTCGCAGCAATTGGGACTCTGTTGGGTGTAAAACCTTATAAGATACCGCTGGTGCAAGAATTGAAGCCACACGACCTCCCACAACGTTTCCAATTTGGTGAATGGGCGCTGGCAAAGTTGGAGGAAGATCCACATTTTTATCGAAAAATTGTGTTCAGCGACGAAGCTCATTTCTGGTTGAATGGGTACGTTAACAAGCAAAATTGCCGCATCTGGAGTGAAGATCAGCCCGAAGCATTGCAAGAGCTACCAATGCATCCCGAAAAAATCACTGTTTGGTGTGGATTATGGGCCGGTGGCATCATCGGGCCGTACTTCTTCAAAGACGACAATGGCCGGAACGTAACGGTGAATGGCGAGCGCTACCGTGCGATGATAACAAACTTTTTTTGCCCAAAATGGAAGAGCTGGACTTGGCTGACATGTGGTTTCAACAAGACGGTGCCACGTGCCACACCGCACACGAAACAATGGCCCTATTGAGAGGCGAGTTCGGTGAACAGTTTATCTCACGTTTGGGGCCCGTCAATTGGCTGCCTAGATCGTGTAATTTAACGCCGTTGGACTATTTCTTGTGGGGCCATGTTGAGGCTGATGTCTACAGGGATAAACCAGCAACGATTGACGCACTGGTAGCCAATATTGAAGCATTTATTCGTGAGATACCGGCCGATATGTTGGAGAGAGTATGCCAAAATTGGACCTTGCGCATGGGCCATCTAAAGCGGAGCCGCGGCCAACATTTAGTTGAAATAATATTTAAACATTAAATTATATCGACCGTTCTATCGATTCAAATAAAGATTTAATCGTTTTTCCAAGTATTTTGTGTTTTTTTTAAAAAAAAATTAAATCCTATACCTCTTAAAAAATCACCCGTTATTAAGCCCAATAACGTAACTGCCCTGAAGCACACGGCAATGGCGAGCACTAGAACGGCGCAATCCCACGACTAGCGCAACACGGCAGCGTATTGCATATAACCTGACCGTTGAAATTAACGGAAACAGTGTTTAGGCATTCCGTTTCTGGCGTCATTCTTTCGGTCTCCGCCGCGCTGGTGCGGCGTTAATCTACTTTTTGGCCAACTTAATTAAATAATTTAATGAACCGGAAGTAATTAGCGACCAGAGTGCCGCTTTGACTCGCTCAAATCCCCTGCGTGCGAGGCAGGGGTTGACGTAATTGATTTTCTTAATTTGCCCGCTGAATATCAACGCTTGTCACTTAGATCCTTCAACGGTGATAGATTCGAGGGCGTGATATTCGTGATGGCCATAAAAAATGAATCCAGGCAACGCTATGCTGTTACGCAATTTGCCAATCTTATGCTGGTAGTGTAGTGTACGCAGTGACAAAGAAAATAGACCACCCAGTAGGAATTATTTTATTTGAATGAAATTATATATAAGTATCCAAGATAAGGATCATATGCACCGGAATCTCAATACCTGTGAGAGATACCGCTAAGACTAATTTTTTATTCATATTTAATTATATGGTATTTACATGCCGTTGAGAAACTTGTAAACATTTCATGCCTTGGGGTGGATTTCACAGGGATTGTCAAATCAACAGTCCGTTATTCTCCACCTATAGGGTAACAGTCCGTCAAATACAGCGAATGAGCTTCAAGTTCTAATCAACAAATTTTAGCAACCAATAGCTATGGAATGTTGAAAACAAAATACTGTCAAAGTATGAGATGTCAGCTTGTCACTGAAACATCACCAGCTTATTGAACATTTAGTCAAAATTTAAAAAAGTTTTTTGAATAAAAATCTTGTTTTTATTTAATATTGTCGATTTTTTATTCATGTTTATATTATTTTCTTCAACTGATATGCGATTTTACTGATTCAACATCACCTACCGTGTGTTTTTTCCTATAAACCTCTTGCAGATAGTCATTAAGCACCTACTTTATGACAGGCTCTACCAAAAATTTCATAGATATTGCTCGTTTCCAAACATTAATTCATTTACTAGCCGTTCATCAGTACCATTATAGCACCGTCGATTTCAGATTTTCTGATACCCATAAATCCATAAAGTCAAATATTTTTTGGTTGCTCAGGAACTGAAGAAACATCCACACTATATTTACAGCGATTAAGAAATACTCAAATATATGTCGTAAAGCTACCGGCAAACTTAAAACCTGCAAAAAATAGAATTTGCAATATCTTTCTTGTTTCACTGAGTATACCTAGAGGTTATATTTATACAGGGTGGCCCATAAGTCCTTTGAGCTGGAAAAAGAGGAATAAAACCAAACTAGTTACATTATGAAGAATTATTATATTTTGTTATCATCTTTATTGAATGGGAATTATGTTTTAAAAATCACATCGTCTAAATGCAATCCATTACGATCACGGCACTCATATAAACGACGTCTAAAATTGTCGATGACTGCGCGGCAAGTCAACACTGTAATGCTTGCCATTTCTCTTCGGATATTTTCTTTGAGGACATCAACTGATCGCGGAGTGGTGTCGTAGACTTTACTCTTGAGGTAGCCCCATAAAAAGAAGTCCATTGGGTCAAATCTGGACTACGTGGTGGCCAGGAAATGTCTCCTCTTCGAGAAATTACTTTGCTGGGAAAAAGTTGACAGACGACGGGCATAGAAGTGTTGGAGGTGTGGGCAGTTGCTCCGTCCTGTTGAAACCAGGTCTGCGTATTATAGCCTGGAAAATTCTGCAACGCTGGTGTCAAAAACTCTTCTATCATTGCTACATACCGCTCCGAAGTAACAGTTAATGCGCGACCTCTGTCGTCCTCAAAAAATAAGGGCCTACGATGCCATGCGCTGACATAGCAGCCCAAACTGTAACTTTAGGGCTGTGTAAGGGCTTCTGATGCTTACGTCTTGGATTTTCGGGGCTCCAATAACGGCAATTTTGTTTATTTACATGCCCGTTTAAATGGAAGTGAGCCTCGTCCAAGAACAACACATTATTGAGCGAAGAAAATCGATTCAACATTTCATTCGCAAAGTTTAGTCTCTGAATAGCGTCATTATCTTTTAATTCCTGCACTAACTGAATTTTGTAAGCGTGCAGACGTAAATCTTTCCTTAAAATCCGCTGTAAAGATGTTCTGGGTACGTTTAGTGCACTGGAACGCTTACGATTAGACTGGGTAGGATTTTGACGAACAGACTGTGCCACAATGTTGATGTTTTCTTCAATACGAGTTGTCCTTGGTCGACCCCACCGCTGTTTATTTAACGTCGAACCAGTCTCTTCGAACTTAGCAATCCAGTTCTTAATCGTTTGAGCTGTTGGACCCTTTGTAAAATTGTGTAAATTGTGGTATTCTCGATATTTACGCCGCGCAATGGTTGCCGAATCATTA